GATCACATCGTATTTGTCCAACCATAGCAGAAAAAACGGGGTTTGTATTAATCTATGAACTAGCTAGCCTTTCTATTTATAATCCAGGGTTATAGGCTATACACTCCCTATCCCTGAGACGGAGTAGGCGTGGCTTTTGAGCATGGCATAGGACGGGCTACTCGTGGGATACTTCAATTTGAAACAACTGCTATCTTGTTCTGTGTTAGATGTAGACATGATTACGACTGTTCCAAAATGAAAATATTTCACGAAAACCTGGGCCGCCTCCCTTTTCAAAATTAAGTACGTAGCCACGCCTACCCGATCTCTGAAGTTGTCTCACTGTCCGTGAAAGAGATAGGAGGACCGAAAGCGTTTGGTGATTTCAACGAGCAATTAGCCTATCCCTTCACTTTTTTCGTGGCATATTGTTGTAGATGTTACGCAGTCAAGAACGCTTTCTTGTGAAAACATCATCGAATGCAGAGCAGTGTTGTTCCTACGTTGACCGCAGTGAATCATCATTCTCCAGTGGGACCGGTTTCTCCGAAATGTTCATCGCACCACCGAAAAAAACTGCCGACCGTCTGCCAGCCAGCAAACCGTGCGACTGCTTCGCTAACCAACCTTCAACGATTGTGCTGACCTTGCTGGGCATAGAATAAGTCACGTGAAATCATATGGTATTTAAGTTGGATACGGTAACTGTGTACAATGGTGTGTAAGTTGTCGCCGTACAAGGTCAAACAATACTCTTTGCACTGTGTCGACAGATTTATGGAAACCGATAGCGAAAGAATGTTTTCCAATTTGCACTTCCCCAGTACCTTGTAGGAACACCTCCGGGTCGTTCAAGTTGACCATTGGCCACTCTTTTGTTATTCAGATGCGTATGCAAAACTGTATGATATCACTCATTCTGTGAGGGGTGTTGACCCTGCTCATTTGCTGCCGCAGTCTAGCACATAATTGATATTGTGAACACATCGCCAGGGGACAGATTAGAAATGTAACATTTTGCTCCGTGCATACACCACCTAAGCTCACACGACTGATTCCTTGCACGGCTTTGACCTGGCTAGAGCTCCACCTATGTTCAACTGCCCTTCACTCCCCAGAACCGCGACCGCTGTTCTACTTCGTTTCATACTTTCTAAGCTGTGCATGATTCGTTTGTCACCGGTGAACTACAGCTTGTCCAGCTTTTTCCAATTCCATCACGTTCGTTGCTAACAGTTTCTTTCTGTCCTTTCAATACATTCATGGAGAAACGGCCTCAATTCCATGAGTTGCAGGGCCAGCAACGAAGGACGCCGTCATGTGGTTCTTCCAAGAACTTTTCGTACATCTTAGTCGATAAGTGGATCATCACATTATCAAAGAAGTAGGTTTGAAGAAGCGCTGAGACCAACCAACCGTAAAGCTCGGTCGTTCAGCGCTGCGCTCCCGCAACTGCGCCTGGCAAGGACACCACAGCAAAAAAAAAATTGATTTCAACTACCATTTCCAAAATTCCCAAGTAACATTCATCCATGGGAAACACGTAATACCATACCCCTTTTCACCCGGAAAAGCGGGTAGACGTGGCATTCGATACCGAGCGGAAATGGGTAGCGGGAGTATTGACACTTGGATGGGGATATTTCAATTGAGATCAATTCTGTGTTGGTCCACGAGACACGCAGTCGATGTTCTGTCGAAGTGGAAATATCTCTCCAAAAGCTCAGCCGCCACCACATTTAGTTGATGTACGCATCGAACCACATCTCAAGGATTGCGATTGTGCATACATAACCAGGATCAGTTGACTGTTCTTTTTCCAAGATTCTCCACATTTTCGCATTGTTGAGGACCACGAACTGATCACGAACCGCCCCCTCTCGCTATGCACTTCCCATCGAGGCGGTTTCCATAAGAAGGAGGTCCGTTTTGGCATATTCTCTAACAAGTTGACAATTCAGCAACTAAGTACGTACCCTTTGCGGATTACGGGGTCAAATCCTGAGTTGGCTCAGGTCTATCATATTTTCTATGCCTCTGCGGTCAAGAAGGTGGCAGAAAGTTTGCCTAAGATGATTATCTCAAAGGCTTACACACGCGTGTGCCTCGCAAAGGCCGTTGTGTAGGCCCAACACTCGTACATAGAAGCTGTGATTGGAAGTCGGGGGCATGGCTAGAAGAACGAACGCAGAATGGTTCTCTTCGCTCTGCCAGCTAATTGCGAGCTCATATCGAGCCATTGCATTCTTACTATTGTTTTTTATGAAAAGCTGATCAATAAAGACCAGACTGTTCGAAGGAAAGCACAAGAAAGGGGTTTTTGTGACACTCCAACTTTATACCTACAATGTGTATGTATCCAAACACTTCTATTTTGCGAAAAAAAATTCGGTTAGTGGCGCAATCCTAGGTTAGCCATAGCCGACTGTTTTGCTCAACTTCTCTCTTATCGGCACCAGGCACAATGGAAGCCCAACAATGAAAACCTTTTAGGCTTGTCCCAAAGTCAGCATTTTTCCGCAGAGGAACCATTGGTTCAGAAGTGGTTCCTATATACTTATGTATCTAGCAATACCAAGTGGCAATTAGTTTGACACTCGCAAGTCCCCTTCAAAGTAGGTCGCAGAAGTAGACCTCAACCAGCAATTACTTATAAATGTGTCCTTTGCTTAGAGCTGTTTCCTCATTTACGCTGAGAAGGACGTTTTTTGAAGGGATGGCCCTAGAGCACTCGTATTCTCAGTAGGACGGAATGCTGCTTCTTCGCCTTCAACAATTATCGTCAGAAAACTAGGATAACAGCACTTACTCACTTTTCCAGAATGAATCATCGACTTTTCTGAACGTTCTTCCTGACTTAGAACGTCACACATCTGTTTTGCGGTGGTGTCGAGTTCAGCACCTCGTCAGACAGTGTCCAAGCGGTGGACTTTAGCTCTGAGTTCGAGACTTCGTCAGACAGCGTCCAAGAAGGAGACTTGAGCTTCGTATCGTTTGCATGCTTATGAGCAACGCCATAAAACTTTGGCTTTCTATGGAGAAGGAAAAACCCGTAAAAACCTCGTGGACCTGAAAACCGGACGTAAACTTTCATGTTTTATTTGTTTCTACGCCTACGCGTGTTCTCTAACATTATTTTCTGAGGGTGACTCAGGTGATAATTTGTTTCATAGTAACAAGCGATCCGTTGTTGTGTGTGCGAGAGCCGAATAGACCGCGATTCGGTCGTCCTTTAGTTAGCCACTCAATCGCTCCACTACAATGCTTGCGTTCCCAACCAGTTTCTCTAGTCCGGAGAAGGGACGACCAACCTACTTGTTGTTGGTAATGTGCTGAATAGTTGTTATATGCATCCTGATAGTATAGCAAGACCGCGACATAAATGCTCTAGAATTGCCCAGTTTTTCAATGGCCTATTACAGCACTGGCTTACTGTGCGGCACTTGTATATTTGAAACTGAGGTAATTTCAAGATCTATTAATTCCTTTCTTCAACGTTTCTGTAATTGTTCGGCTTTTTGACATAACCTTAGCTCCGTTCAGATCAATTCTCGCATTAAATCTTCTTTCTCAGAGTTATTGTCGGATTCCATTGTCATGCTTTCCTATTTCTTCTTCATAAGACATTTTTCTACGACTACATGTTCTTTGAGTACTACTGGAGGCATAATGGGCAATATAAATACCGAGTTGTGCTGGAATAGTCGGTTCTTCGGTTGTCTTCCCAGGAACGCATCCAACACTTTCTGCTCTTTTTCAGCTGAATAGATGCCATGCATTTGACTGCCCTCCGTCATTATTCTTCATCGCCTGAGGATTTCCCATTCATGATCGGTGTATTTCACTGATCGCCTATGTCCAAGAGCCAGCACCCGCTGTTCTTCGGATCGTTGGATATTTCAGGAATCTCTTGGACTCTCAGACCTGAATGACATAAAAGAGAGGACCTGTTCCACTAACTGGGCAATAGACCTTCAAGTCATAACAAACATTTTAAGTTAACACCTAACTTCTCCACTGAAGGCGGCAGATCGAAAGTGTAAATATTGAATAATACTGGAGATAGGACGCTGCCTTGGGGGACCCTTCTTGGTGCACTTTGAACTTTAGGCAGTGAAGTACCGATTTTGACTTGGAAAGTTCGCTCTCTCAAGAATTTTTTATCCATTTGATGATTCTATCGTGAATGCAACTTTCACGAGTGTGTGAAGCAAAATAGAATGGATAACTTTGTCGGAAGCTATTTGGAAATCAAAACAGATGACATCAAGATAGCTTCTAACGTCCAGTACAGCTGTCCAATCATTTAGTGTCTCTAACATAAGTGTTGCAGTCGACCTCTTTTCTCTAAACCCTGCTGATGTCTGGATAGAACTTGCTTGGTCTCTAATGATGCACAATGACTCTTTTAACAATTTTTTCAAACAACCTGCAAAATACTGAGGTGATACTAACAGGTCGGTTAACTATTTGGATCGCAAACTTCAGCTGAATGGACGCCATGCTCTGACTGCCCTTCTTTATTATTATTCATCAGCCTGCAGTATTTTCATTCATCATCATTCATGATCAGTGTATTTCACTGATCGCTTATGTCCAAAAGCCAGCACCCGCTGTTCTTTGGATATTTAGATATTGCGGGGGATTTTCTAGCAGCTTTCCAGCAACCGCTTTTCTTTGGATATTTAGATATTGCAGGGATTTTCAAACAAAGATGATTGCAGGGAGTTTTCAACAACTTTTTAACTTCTAGGCTAGCTGGACACCTCTTCTGCAAATGATCAGCTCCGGAATCGTCGTCAGTGACCGACTTCAGATGGCAACATCATCAATCGTAAGTACCCCTTTTATAATTCTTTCACTCACTTATCCTTAAATAAATGCACCTGTAGACCTGAATTCTAATCACTAGGATAAAGCGCGGTTTTTTCACCACGTTCCGCAAAGTCTTGGTAAAGGTACAATATCGGTGACGCGAAGGCAGTATATACTCGCTTGCTAGAAAGTCTCGCTGATTACAATAATGCCGCAATGGGAATGAACACGGGGGGGGGGGGCGGCAATGAGAAAAAAGACGCTTTTCTCCCTCGACTTTCAAGAGGCTATAAGTTACATTTTATTCAATTCTGATTGGGCATGTTCGCACGCATGCAATATTCAACAACAAAACATTGTGTACGCTATCGCTTAGACCCGCCCCAGCCTTCGCAGACGAAGGCTTCTAGGAGATTCTCCACGAGCACCGGTGATTCGCGCTGGCCTGGATCTAGCGAGCGTCATTTGATTTCCCAGCCTTCGTGTGGACCACCCCTGTTGAGTCCTTCTGAACTGCCGGTATCGAAGGGTAATGGGCAGCTGCGACACTTTGATATTCCGGTCTTTTTCAGTTCTCGAACGCCTTCAGCTCGCAAGTAGGCGGAAGAGTTTTTCGGCCAATGTCCTTCGTTTCCACAGTGCTGGCACCAAATCCTGTAGCAACACGAATTTTCCAAGACGTGATGTCACGAAGTATCCCACAAAGGTTTTGATCAACAGCGAAAACTTTATCCCTCCTGCAGGTCAACTTTATCCATCCTTTAGGTCTGCAGGTCAACTATATTTCGGAGCAGCTTCACTTTCAAAACTCTTTTGAGTGTGACTATGCTTCCCCTAAAAAAACCTCCGTGCATTCACTATGAGCGGTCTGTAGCAGATCTGGAAGACGGACACGTACTTGTCGCTCAAAGGGAAATCGGTTGATGCACATCTCATTTCAAAGAAGCACTTCGACTCTGTCTTCCTCTACTAACTCACGAGTCCTTGGCCACCTCTTTCGGTTGGAACATCATGTGTGACGGTGAACCTGCTCATCGCATACGGCAACAGATTCCTCCTATCAGTAAACGTGCACTGTGTTGCTAAGCGGTTGTATGCAATGCGATTATTACCTCATTTCAGAGGCGGAACATACGCTCGGACCTGGGCCCTATGGTTCATTCACGCATGCCAAGGTGCTGAGTAACCGGCACTGAAGAAAAAGCAAAAAAGTCGTCGATAACCCATTAAGCATGACCGCTTCGCCTCTGAGCTTTACACAAACATCAGGCGGAAAGGCAATGAAAAGAGAAAAGTGCGACAAGCGATGGTATCGCGAATAGATGATCGAGACCTCAGCACTTTGAAGTGATAATAAAACCAAATGATATAGGTAGAGAGGGCGGAGAGTGGTTGGTATGGCAGGGCCGTGGCGTTCTTACAGCGCTTGTTAGTGATGACTTTCAAGCGTGGTAATCGAGGGATGTGCCTTCAAAGGCAGTTGGCATGATAATTTAGTATTCGGCCTAAAATGCCAGCAGGTTGCTACATAGCGGGAAATTGGCGAAAAAACGAAGTGAAGCGGTCAAAAAGCTGCGAAGGAAAGCCCTCATAATTCGTGACTCAAAAAACAACTTCGGACGAGTTTCTCATATCTTGCCAATAACGGCAACGGTAACTACGGCCGCACCTATACTCAGCATTGCGGCCACTTTATATATGTTTTACTTCTCAAATGAAGCAATACGAGCATTATGTAAGGTCGTCCATTTGCGGCCGGCAAGCGTGGTGGGCGTTCGGGTCAGTATATTGTAGCTTGATAAGGCCCTTATGAGAGTACCTTCCCTGGAAAAGGCGCTATCCTGCCAGGTGCATTAACCCTACTCGCTCTAGGGATTCATCGTACCAACTGCCTTTGAACTACATCTATAAGAAGGCAAAATGGAAGATAGCAATAAGAATGGGATAAGGAGGTCTGGGACGTGCTAGCTTTGAGC